TCGGTATACTAGGAGTGGTCGGAGCTTAGGAGAGAGCGTTCAATATGTTTCCTAGGCGTACAGGTACCAGTGGAAGGGAAAGGGTGAATGGATCTTGCGATTTCGTACGTAAGGGTTGCGTACAGCGAAACCTCGATTTAAACTGGGTATCATAATGAAAAGGTTTTGAAGGCTAGAGATTAGCGTGATATTGTATGGTTCATCTCAAGTACTTGTTATTTGAGGAGACACTAGCTGGCCAGAGTGCTTCGGGCGTGTAAAAAGAAGTTTTTGTTTTACTGGCGCAATAGATGTTCTACTGCAGGGAGCAGTTGTTCGAAGGCCGATTAGCGCTTAACCCAGGTCTATTTTTTTTTTGTTGAAAAGCATTTCTTTGGATAATTTTGTCGGTTATTTTTAAGAGCGTCCAATCATCAACTTGTTGGCAAAATGAAGCCGGGTCGCGAGTTCGATTCTCCTCCTTCCGAGTTGAAAATGTTCACTGGAAGCGTATGTGTGCTGCTCACTAGTGTATCATTAAAATTAATAAAAATAAAAATGAAATTAATTTACGCAACCACGAGTTCGTGAGGAAAAAACAAAAGGGCGTGTAAAAAGTAAGTGACGCCGACTGATTTTATTTTTCTTTTTATGATTCGAGTTGATCCGAGTCCAATTTTATTTTACTTTTATTTTTTTTATTCGACCCGAGTCGATCCGAGTTTATCCGACCCGGACTGGCTGTCCAGACTTTTGTATCTGCCTAGCTAAAATGTTCGTTTGTCTAGTACCGAAAATATCACACGTCATGATGATATAGTGCCGCCGAGCTTCACATCTCGCTAGATTTACTTTGTGGAATAACGGCCGCGGCCGAGCTTTACATCTCCGTAGATTTAAATACTTTGTGGCACAACAGACGCTGAGCTTGACAAATCGACAGTAAAGTTACTTTGTGCCTACACAATTCGGTAGATTTACTCTGTGGCACTACGGCCGCCTAGCTACACAGCTCAGTAGATTTACTTTGTGGCACAACGGACGCCCAGCTAAACAACCCGGTTTGCTGCATGCACCAGGAGTAGCACGTATTTTCTAAAGAAAAATATGAAGGCTTTAGGGATCCAAAGTAAAATTTTACTCAGGGTGTAAACTTTGAGCACAGTTTTGAAAGATGAACGCTTTGGGGGATTCATTAAACACAGATCGATAGTAGACCTTCAGCAAACTCTTGAATATGTACGCTTTACGAAAACAGAATAGAATTTACGAAGACAGAATAGCAGACCTCAGGAAACGTTTGAAAGATGAACGCCGAGGACACACGAATCACCAAGTGAGTTAGCGCGTCAAAGTGAGGCAAAACGTAACCAAGCGCCTCAAAGCGAGGCAAATGTGTGTCGACGACGACGACGACGACGACGTCGAAGATGCAAACTCGAAAAACCTCCCTTATTAGTTGCACAGGACACCTAACAATGCACAGAACACCCAACACAAATTAGCGGTTGCGTTCGAGGTACGAGAAGGCAAATACTTAAAATCCAACTAGTGGTCTATTATCAATGCTGCGTTCTTATTGGTTGGGCTACTACTAGGCTATATGTTATAGCCCACTAGCAGGCCTGGCCCACTAGTAGCAAAAAGCGCCGGCTTTGAAAACCAAAACAATGACGGCTGAATCGCTTTTTGTTAGCATAGTTGTTTTGTCTGGATATTTTTGACAAACAAGTTGAATGTTTGCGAAACCAATTATTCCTCTCTCTCTCATGGCCTCTGAGTCAATAGCCCCATTGGGGCTTCGGCCTCATGGGCTGTTGACTCAGAGCCCATTCGGGTTCGATGAATAATAATTGTTAAATAAACATGTTGTGCGTTTTTCTTACCAATTAATAAAAGTTAAAGAAAATCCGTGATACTTCTTGCAGAGCAATGCAAGGTGGCATATTGTCTAAAACCTGGGCTAAACGATCAAACTCATGAGCATGTTTGACCGTAACATCATCTCTTTCATTCAGCTTCATATAGGCTCGTGTGCAGTGTTTGATCCAACACCGTTATCGTATAAGCAAGCGATCAAGCAATCATTTCAGCGGTATTGCACACAATTCATGTCGACTCATTCTGTTTGAATTGTATCAAACATTGTTTGCTTGTTAAACCGCTCCATGTTGTGTGTAATAACCGTGATGTTGGACGAGAATGTTTGATCGTTTAACCTCACCGGACGGACCGAAGCTTAACCTTCCGCAGGAGCCGATTACAGTAATCAGCCCCAGCATCCCTTTAGCAGACGTTCCCGGGGACCCTCCCTTAGAAAGGCTGGGTTTCCGACGTGCTTTTGGTCTGAAATTAGGTAGAGAGTCAGGTGACGAACTGGTTTGGTAAACAGGGTATGGTGTTTTTCCGAGGGGGTATTCCCATATTAAAGTGACGGGATGCTCATCGTCTCGCTTAAGGATAGAAATTGCGGATTTTGGTCTCACTCAGGGTGTTCTGGACAGAAAGCCATTATCCTTGTCCATAGAGTGTCACTTAGGGTTGTGCGTAGAGAAATATCCGCAAGAGGCAAATGCAGTCATGCTTTGTTGGAGTATAGCCTCCTTTATGGTTCAAATAAAACCTAAGCCACGGCCAGATTGGTCTCTTTTAGGGGTTAAATCTAATTATTCGATTCGCGCAGTGCATCGCAAATTCGGCAACCGCATGTAAACAAAATTTATTGAGGTTAATTGCAAGGTTTTTTCCTCCGTTTTTCTCTCTAAAACAAAACAAAGTAAACAGTAAAAACTGAGTGGAAACTAATTTTGAAGTTCCGAAGAAACAGAAAGCCGTATGAGAGTTTTTTTTTTCAAAATTAAAACGAAGTATCAGCTGAAGTATGATGGTGATTGAAATTAGCATAATTACACCTTGCACGAGCTGCACGCATTTATAAAATCTGCTGTCTTTTAGTTTTGTTACTCGGATGACATGGATGAGATTTTCCTTCGTGTTTTAGACAGTGTTTAGTTGTTTTTGTTTCGGAATAACATCGACCTTATTGGCGAGTAATAGAACGAAAATATGATCTAGTGATAGAGTCATGGAAGTAACCAGAAAAACCATTTGAAAGAGATATTTGTCTGCTACAACTAAACCTCTCGGAAAAAACAGCAACATTTCCCCTTCGGAGACAGTGTACCAGCACAAAGGAAAGAGGAAGAAGTGCAAGAAAACAACTCAAACCGCCATGATTCAGTGACAGTGTCTAATGGACAAACCACATCGCAAGCCCTGGCAGAAGTCGAAAACAGGCGACCTTTCTAAGCAGAGTCCCAGTCCACTGCATCACACGTTTTTGCTCGGACGCGCTCGTTTCACTGTCCAACCTTTAAGGCACAAGGGGTTTTGCTCCCGACGCATGCTCCAGGCTCATTTTGCATGTGTCAGTACATACGAGGGAGCGTTTTCAAGTTCGCTCAATTTGTCCCGGGAGCTTGCTCCCAAACATTTAACCTGTTAAATACCGTGGAGCATTTTGCGGGGTGGAAATGCTGCTCCCAAGGATGAAGTATACCCATGAAATCGTTGGTACACACGGAGGAGCTTTGCTCCCGGAGCGTGCCCCTGGAGCTACCCTGGGTAGCAGAGGTTTCTTCTCGCGTGCTTGAGACTAGACCGAAACTGGAAACCGCCCATGAAAAAACTGTGGCACCCAGGGTCCCTGGAGCATGCTCCTGGAGCAAAATCCCTCGTGTGTATAGCTATTGCTCACGCAACAAAACCATAACGGATAGGGTTTGAGCACCAAAGTTCAGCCGTGTGCATGTTTGGAAACAAGGAGTGATCATTGAGGTACCTCAACCAGAATGACCAGGTGCCATAAGAAGTTTTGTTTCTTAGCCGTGATCTGTCTTTTTGGACTAAATTTGCTACTCGTTTTTGTCAGTAATCAAGAAAAGTGCATGTCTCTCAAAGGATTACAGAGATGGATTCGTTGGCCCAAAACGCCAAAAACGCGTTTGCTGGTAATTGGACAAGGGCGATCAGGAACTAGTTTTGTGTCTAAGATGTTAACTATTGGTGAGCAGGTGAGTGAAAAGTTTGAGATTCATTGCTTTCCTTAGTCTATATTGGAAGAAATTTCACAACCTGACGATCTTTGAAGCGCGAAAAATTTTATGCAAATTAGCTGGCTGCACATTTAGACCCTGTTTACATGGAGTGGCGGACCCCGGTCTAGTGGGGTAGGTTTCTTCTGTTTTGTGTCCCCCAGAGCGTGAAAACAAAAGAAATCAACCCCACTAGACCGGGGTCCCCCACCTCCATGTAAACAGGCCCTTAATGTCCTGCCAGTAATTTGCATAAAATCAGCCATTTGCCATTCGTCTGTAAAAACAAAGGCAATCGAATTATCGGGCAAAAACAATGTCATTCCGTTCGAAATCGCTCGCATGCAGTCGGTAAATCCAAGAATTGCTGCTTCGTTCCACGCTTCAGTTATGAAGGTGCTAAAGGTAAGACTTGTGGTTCGCCGGAAAAAATGATTTCATCGTCAGATTAGTGCAACTGGAACTACGAGGTACTACGACAATTTACAACAACAACAACAAGTTTATTTCAAATTAAATACTGCTTACAAAGCTCGTGCCCGCAAGAGAAAAACGAAAATTGTATAAATATATATATATATGTTAAACGAACAATCCTAGAAGCAATCTAGTTTGTCTTGTGGTTTATAGCCAGAGTGAGACAGGAAGGCAGACTGTACTTCATACGGAAGTACACCATGTTACGATTTTGAGAATTGCCATGTAATAGCAGAAACTCTAATATAGTCGTCCTCTTTTTCCAGTATTTCAAAGAGTTTTCTCTTTAGTTCGCTTTTGAATTGATTTTTTTAAGTGTTTTGACAGAAAGTGGAATACTGTTCCAAATTAAAGCGCCGGAAATAGAGAACGCTCGCTTCATATTTTCAGTTCTAACTTGTTCAACATAGTAATTTTCATTAGTAACAGATCTAGTCCGGTAGCTGTGGACAGAAGACAGTTTCGTGAACATATTCTTAATGTTATCAGGAGCGAGATTATTATGGACGTCGTACATTAAAAGGTTCATTTGCTCAAATAGCAAGAACGATATCGGCAACTGTTTTGTTTCTGAAAACAACGGAACTGCACGAGTTCTTGGTTCAGCGAAGAACATTAGCCTAAGGGCTCTCTTCTGGAGAACCAGTATTAATTTCTTCATTATTAGCAAGACGAATTTAGGCTTAAGTTGGCTTGAAAATCTTGTAAGACTGTGTATGCTTCCTTCTGACAAGATAGTCCTTTAAAAACAGTTTCAAGGTACTATAAGAGAACAAGGGCGGGTCAGCTTTACGAGGATTTAGGTCTCTCTTGGCACCCTGTTTGTATTTGTTATTTGTATCACACATACAGTAAATGAAATCAATAAATGTACAGTGGGCTGTGTCCTATTTATAAATAATTTTGAGCACCACTTTCGCCAGGGATCTTTAGTCTTAAATAAAAAGCTAATGAAGAAATACTTCAAACTCGTATCCTTGCTTTCTATGTTGGTATAGTCACAGAATGTTAGGTTTGAAATTAAAAATGGCATTCAGCATTTGTGATTACCAATCCTCTTACAGTGAAGCAGATTAAGTTACACGAAAAATAGCTTAACCCGGGCTGTGAAATGTGAAAATTAAACTTCAGGGTCCTTCAGAAAATCTTAGATTATTCGATAAGCTTTGAAAATTGTGCATGAATGGAATTGTCATCTAGAAATTTTTTATCCCTCCTCAAGTAATAGAACATTGATTCTAGGCAATATTTGCCTCTCCGAACAGATATTTTACAGGAAACAGTCGTTGGATGCCCCTGAAATCATACTAAGGTTTAATACAAAGCGAGAGAGGTGCAGGGAGCACATCCGTTTGAACATTATAAATGGACGTTTGTTGTTTTGTCTCACAGGTTTTCGAAGTTTATGAGCCTTTGCGATTAATATATCGCAATTCGGACAACGAAACAAAATTGCAAGTTCTTCAAGCACCACTATCCTGCGTGTTGACGCCAAAGACTGTGTGGAAATTATATGAAAGAACATGTCCTACACTCTTAACCTGTGAACCCCCCTTGGAGCAAGTTGAAGAACTCGGCCACAAATGTAAACACTGTTTTTCTGGTACTGTTGTTAAGGTATTGCCTCATCGAATACCAGGTGGAAAGTTATCGAGTTTTCTCCCCGTGTTTACTTATCGAGCAGTTGGTGTTTCGATTATTGCATGTTGTTCGCGACCCAAGAGCAAGTATAAATTCCAGGATAAAACTGGGATGGTTTCCCGAGTTCAATCATACAAAATTTACGAAAATGGTTGAAAACTATTGTAATGTTATCATTGACAACATCGAGTTCGGCCAAAACCTTGATGTAATATATCAAACATGAGATGCAGTGTTTCATCACCAGATGAAACACCGAGAAGAGAGTTGAAAATACGACGCGCAGCGGAGTATTTTTGACGAACTTCGAGGTGTTTCATCTGGTGATGAAACACTGTGTCGAATGTTTGATATTTCTTCTCAAACAAAATCATTTTTGAAGGAGAAATTAAGGATTCAAATACTAAGCAGTGTTTCATCCGATTTCCAAACACTCATTAAACATTAATTTCCTTTGTATTTTCTTAATGAATTATTAATGAGTTTGAGAAGATTCGGTCAAACACAGATATAAGCTTGTTTTCTATCGGGACATTGCTGCTAATCCGCTTAATACAGCAAAAGAAATCTTTACATTCGCAGGGATGGATCTTGATGAGAATACTTTCGAGTGGATAAAAGCCACAACAAATCTTAGCAACAAGACGGAAGCAAACAAAGCGAATTTTAAGAGTCTAGACTCGTTGGTGAGGAATTCTAAAGCGAACATTGAAAAATGGCGAATTGAATCTCCACCCGAACGTACAAATGCCATCGAGAAAATTTGTAAGCCGTTGTTGGAACTTATAGACGAAATGAGCATGAGTGAGAATGTTCATTGGATAACTGAGTAAATTAGCGACCCTCATTTCTAGTACAGTGGAAATTCACAGGAAGATTTAAGTCCCGCAAGCTCATAAGCACAGAGTTTATGAGCATTTATTGGATTCAGCTTTCGTGTGATCCGAAAAATTATGCAGGGCGAAATGTGACGAAAAGCGAGCGAGCGATTTATCGAACGAACTATAACTCATCCAACAGGTATGACAACCCAAAGAAGTTATTTTGGCAGGAAATCGCATAGCCACCCGCGTCTTGTGAAGCCGGGGACAACTAAGGAGTCAATAAAGACGAAAACGGAAAGCGAAAATTGTTTCTGTATCCTTGTTGTCTAAAGTATTAAGCTTAGATTAATTGTCAAGTCTACAAATTTAGAATATAGTGAAAAAAGAAAGTGGGCGACAGGCTAGACTGCAAAACAGTCCGTAGTTTTGCTTATTCAAGTACGCGCGAGCAGTCAAACAAAAGGTCTGGAACGAGGCTGAAAACAGAGAGCGAGACTGGAGAGAGACGCTAAAAATTTTCTCTCCTCACACGCCCTACTGACTCCACGCTTTACCGATTTCTTTACTGATTTTGGGAAAAAACCGACTTTTTGCAGTCTACGACAAGCCAGCAAAGCTCAACGAGAAAAAGAGCGACAGAGAGCTTGGGCAAAAGATAAGGAGCTATTATTTTGTTGGAAGAACATGAAAATTTTTTTGCGGCGGTGAGAACATGAGAAATCTTAGCGGCCACCAAGGTGAAAATGAGCGAGTGAAAAAAAGTGAACAACTACAGGTACGACATTTCCTCCATAAAACGTGCAACTAGGAAGTTTCGGGAAGTTTCACGTTGTGGTCGTGCAAAACAACGGCAAAGAAATATACAAAAAAAGTTGTTTTTTTGCTAATTAGACCTACTGTTGTTGTTTCACCGCTCTAGTTGCCTTCGCCGCTTCTACAACATGATTTTATATTTTGTTTGAGCAAACTATAAATATATCGAGAGCTTCGCCTTTAGCCCTGGCTAAATCTATATATTAATAATAATAATAATAGTAATAATAATATGAGAATAATTTTATTGAACTTTAAAAATATATATACATAATTTACAGAAATATTTGAAGTAAGTAATAAGCACTAAATAACATTAAGAATTATATAAATTATAAAAATAGCAATCACTGTGTCAATAACGATTTCGCAAATACATTCCTTGCGGCTCAGATGCGGTCAATGGCTCTTACAGGCAGTCCAGAGTTTTAAATAAAGTCATTACAAAAGAGAATTATCCGTCTGAAGAAAACAAGTTAAAAAGAATAAAATCTCGTATTCCTAAATCCTAATTCTTTAAAAAAAAATAAATCGTTAAAAGATTAATTCGGGAAGGCTCTAATATTATCGATCTGTAGATCTGAGTCAGCAAAAGTCTAGCTGTCTTCTTCCGGATATTGAGCCTCTCAAGCATAGTATCGCAGACCGTACGATGGCGAAAGATACTTTAGCTCTTATCCCGGAAATTGCGTTTGAGCAACTTTCTCCCTTCTTTTTTGCGATCAGCTCCGCAAGTTTACTGTGGTACTTAATACACTCATCCGCCATTCCACCTGTGGTCGTGAAAACTAGGGGAGTGAACGATCCCTTTTCGATCTCCATTACTCTTTCCGCTTACTGCCTCTTCTTTTCGTTCTCATGCTTCTTGTAGATCTGCTTAGGAGTCAAGTCTCTCTAAGAGTCTGCATTAGGGTGAAACACCCGAACGACGAAGAATGCAGATCTCTGTCTCTTCCAGAAACCTCGAGCATGAATATCCAAACAGGCATCAGGGGGCTTTGTTAGCGCCATGATTTAGTGATCTCCTGAGGGACCGGCTCTACTTCTACATCATTACAGACCGTCCTTGGAATCTCTGCTTCCAAGTGACGCAGTTCATTGTGGCGCTGGATAATGAAGCCCCCGCGCTGACACACCATTGCTTGATCCACGCTAAATTGAACAACAAATGCGTAGAGCACGGGTGTGTCCGTTATTTCCCAGTCGTACCGTAACTTGATTGCATCTCGAAATTCCTTAATAATGATAATAATAATAATAATAATAATAATAATAATAATAATAATAATAATAATAATAATAACAATAATTGCCGAGAGCGCGCTTACTGGGTACAGCCAGACCCTTCGCAAAGTCTTAGACACCTAAGGTCACGGGCGGTGACTTGATGTTTAAGGAAAAAAAATAAATTGTAAATTGCTATTTTACCCACGAAGCACTTAAGAGTTCATATGAACTCGTTTAAACGTGTCCGTGCGTTCCAGATCGAATTGGAATTTGGAAGTGTTGGTTTCTGAGGAGAGGGGAAAACCGGAGTACCGGGAGAAAAAACCTTTCGGAGCAAGAGAGAGAACCAACAACAAACTCAGCCCACATATGGCGTTGACGCCGGGATTTGAACGCGGGCCACATTGGTGGGAGGCGAGCGCTCTCACCACTGCGCCACCCTTGCTCCCTGGAAGAGAAGCAAGCCATTCAGAAGCGCGGTGGACCATCGTTTCCCCCTGCTCTTTTATTCTCCCCTCTCCTCTGTCAGTCGAGGACACAAAGAGGCCGGTGCGGTGGAGAGGGGAGCACTCATGTCTTATAGGCGTGGCCATTTTTGGGGGTACATGTCTCTCCCTGTGGGTGGGGTCAACCTGGAGGAAACAAGACCACTCAGAGCTCTGTTCAACATTTGGTAACAGCCCAGCATTCGCTGATATATTTGACTTTGTGAAAGATTTGAACCCAGGAGTTATTTCTCGACTCAATTTAGAAAGCTGGTTTACTTTAACTTAGAACAAACGCCAATGAGTCACAGTCAACAATTACCACTACCGTACAAACGACTTATTGACATACTCAAGCAAAACTGAAAACTACAGAATGACTTGATATTCGACATTTTGACTGACAAGAAACGACTGTTCAACTGTGACAAAAGACGGATCGACAATGACTTTTAGACTCTTCATAGCTAATAACATCACGGCTTAACTGACAGGCGAACAATAACATGGCCAACTTGGCGACATGGCCAATCAGGTGAATACCATCAACTAACGTGATACAACTCACTTTGAGTCTAAAGGTGACTACTGCACAGCAGGTTTTCGGAACATCAGTTGCTCTCAACAACCGTCCTATTCAGAATTACATTACGCCGTACCCGAACGATCATGCTCTATCTCTTTATGATATTCAGTTTCACTTTACTTGAGAATATTGTCTGAGGTTCAGAAACCTTTTCTAAGCCCAGCAAAGCCATCAGAGCTCTGCACTCATTCTCTACGACTTGATTCCTTTCAAAGAACTCATCTTTCCTCCATTTATCAGCATTTCCCGTTGCGTTCCTCACCGGTGAAAAAGGATCTTCAAGCGCCTTTTTCAGTTGATCTCCGTTCGGCCTGGTGCTCTCCAATATCCATTTCTCTGTCTCCAATGGCATTGAAAATTCAGCAAATTTGTAGATATCCCTCGCAGTACCTAGCGGGTCATCGGCTATCTGCTTGTACAAAACTACTTTATATCGGTGATCGAGGTTGAATTTTTTCAGCGTCGTTTTTGCATACGCTAGATTTTCTGCGATTGTACTGCACAGTTCTCTTGCGGTTTTGCCTAGATGTGGATTCGGAAAATCCTTAATCCATTTTATGTCTATTCGAGAGTTGATGTTCCCTCTGGGATCCCGTACCAAATGCAATATACGCACATCTACATCCGGATTTTCCAGTAAAACTTGGGGGACCAGATTAGCGATTTTCTCTCGAGGAAGCCGCACAGGCGAAACTTTGACAACGCTATGCTTAAATTTTGTCCTGCAAACGTCGTCCACAAATTCTGGGTTGTCGCGTGGCTTTGGACAATGCAGTTCATTGTTCATGCTGTTTAATTTGTTGCAAAACTTTGGTGTTTTGAAAATATTAACGGGTAGGGCACCAGTCCAAGGTGCTTCCACGTAATAGAGAAATTTCCTCGATGTGGAGTAACGAGAAAAATTACAGCTAACAATGGAATTAACAACCTCCAGGTCACAGTTTAAACAGTCCAAACCTTGGTAGAATTTCCAATATTTTGTTATCCAAAGAGGCTCATATACCAGGAATATTTGAGGATCCTTTGCGAACATGGTGCTTATAAAAGTGGTTCCCGAGCGATCGTGTCCGAAGATAATCAAGCTGCGCCTACGTGCTCTAGGAGTCAGCAGATTCTCATTCTGATTCTGGGTGTCTTTTTCTATAAATTCGCCTTGTGTTTTTCTGGCGGTTCCTTCCGTTGAATCACCAGATATCGTTAACTGTTGTAAGCGAGACATTAGAGTGCAAACCAGAATCGCCGCAAAGAAACAACAGAAGGAAAACAAACATCTCAGGAGAAATATTGTTGGCATCATGGAGAGCCCCAGTTATTGATCTATGAAACAGAATTATAAAATTCATTGTCTTTAACCTCTGGCTCTCTGAAACATTGAATAAAGTAAGTGGATCGCATTTGATTGCCAGGTTAAATAGGACGCAAAACCTTAATTATATGAACTGTTATCAAAGAGAGGCTGAATCAATAGGATAAAAATTTCGGTTTGGAACGATTCAGACAGGAAAAATAGAAACAATTTTTTAAAAGCTCAGTATTGCATAATTTTAGGCATGTTTTCACCAAAAACTCAAATTTAGCCTCAGAAAACAGCCGACGTTTGGCGACGCTACCACTGGTTTTCCCGCCAAATGACGTCTGAGAAACAAGCGCAGAAATTCCATACTGATGACGCGTCACTACCCAGATCTGGGTAGTGTTCTGATTGGTTGAATCAAATTTACCACATGGCACGACCAATCAGAAACACTATAGCATGCGTGGCAGGCGTTAAAGGGAAGGGGAATTTGGGGCGCGAGAGCGCGCGAGGGAGAAAGAAAAGGAACGCCTGCAAGGAGACCATTGTTTTATCCATTTTCCACGCTCAGATTCTGAGCGTGAAAACAGTGATTGGTCAGAATTAATTAAATGTCAATATTCGACATAATACCTTTTTCCGATTGGTTGAAAACGACATCACGCCATTTGAGTAACTAAGCATATGTTGTTAATGAAGCGTGACGAGGTTTCTCTTCTGGATTTCACCGTTAAAAGGCATCAATTTCAGCTTGAAAGGAGAATAGAAAAAAGCAGTTAAAGAACCGTATGAAGGAAAAGGCCTGTCAGCAGATGAGTTTTACTGACTGGTTTTGAAAAGTATCATGTCGGTTTTACTCACTAGAAGAAAGAAAGGAAAAATCATGCTGCCTGTGTGCTTGTTATCTGCTGTTTAACCCGCGTTATTAACGGCAAGATTTATAACGAATTGAAGACGAAACGATCTATAACCCTCAGCGATTTTTGGTGGAGGACTTCTTCTTGCTGGTTATAAAAGCGCCAGGAACTTACTTTAATAATTAATTGCTGCCTTCTTGCAGATATTCGCAGTTCAGCTCTTCTTTCCCCGCTACCAGCGTTCTTTTGTGTGCTCCGCTGGATCTATATATTTCGTCCTGATAGAAACACAGGTAACCCAGGCTCACTGTTTGTGTCGTCACGTACGGGTTTAATTACATGAGCAAATATAGAGAACGTATAGGGCGAAGTTTAGGTCTGGAAATTTGCTAGAAAATGGAAACAAAAATCGATGAAACTTACCATGTGGCGAGTTGTAGCCTGCGTAGCAAGCGTTTCTGTGCGGTTTAGGCAAAAAGAACGAGGAACGAGAATCAAACTAGTCAAAGACCGCGAGAAAAGTGGCTCTCGTTTCATTTCTCGCGCGGTCCATACCGAAAGTCCCCTTCCTCGGTATTTCTTTGCTCCGAAACCAAACGGAAACGCTTGCTACGCAGGCTAGGCGAGTTGTTGTTGTCCTTAATATACACATGAAGTTTCGAAAAAAATAGCGTCTGCTTCATCTTTCCTACTACTATGTAAGAAAGATGAAGCAGACAATTTTTCGCGAAACTTCGCGTGCATATTAAGGACAACAACAACTCCCAACATGGTAAGTTCCATTGATTTTTATTTCCATTTTCTAGCAAATTTCCTGACCTAAACTTCCCCCTATATGTCCTCTATATTTACTCATGTTAGGAAACCCGTAAGTGACACAAACAATGAGCCTGGGTTACCTGTAATAGAAATTCAAAGAGTGACGGCAAAGGCTAGTAGTGACCCGTCATCAGTATGGAATTTCTGCGCTCTTTCCTCAGAGGTCATTTCGCGGAGAAACCAAAGTGAAATGTCGGCTGTTTTCTCAGGCTATCTCAAATTGAGTGGTTAAACATTTTGCACGAAACATTGAACATTACTTTTTTTAATTAAGAGGTGTTTTAACGCTAAAAATATGATGGGAATCTTAAACTCTTAACAGAAAACTCCATTTAGCACCTCGGCTAGCGCAATGATGTTCATGACATGTCTTCAGGGACAACTCTGGAAGAGTTTCAACCGCGGCAGGATTAGCTCAGTCGGTAGAGCGCTTGACTGACGAGCTGGAGGTCGCGGGTTCGATTCCCGGGGTCGGACCAAGTACTCAGGGTCTTAAAATAACTGAGAAATGAAGGTACTTCCTTTGCCCTGCAGGCGGCTAAACCTTCGCATGGATCAGATGACCACGTAAAATGGCGGTCCCGTCTCCATTAGGAGACGTAAAATATAGTGCTAAATACATTGAGACTCAAATAAAGTGCATTTTTGTTTAAAAAACCAAATGTCTTCTTCCAAACTCTTTTTCTTTAGCAAGTCGTTTGATCCTCTCTTTCCGGTGGGAAAGGACCGTGACAGTATTTATTTTCTTCAGTGGCCAAGGAGAACTTAAATTTCAAAGATATAATACTTTGTTTGGATAAATTATGAAAGGTAGAATAGATACTAACCTCTCCTGTTAATAATCACCACTTCAGATGGATAAGGAGCTTTTTTTATAGTTCCTGCAGTTAAGAGATGATAAACCCCCTCGCGGTTCAAAACAATACTACTTGGCTTTTGTGATGCGGGAAAAATAATATTGCCTTGTGACAATTCGAGTCGTCCAGCAAACAGAGCAAACATAGTTGTGAGAAGAGGAAAGGTTGCTTGGAGATAAAGATTTAAAACGAGATGATGGATACCGAAACAAAGTATCAAGCCAGAATAATTAAAGAAATATGGATTACTGGTGTGGACCGGACCAAACTCGACTGTAGCAACCCAGTTTCAAGTTATAAAGCAAATAAATCACGTTTATTGACTTTTTAGGGTATTGCAGTTCAACTTGGAGTTAACTGACAAATTTGCTCTCCCTCCCAGTAATCATAGACACAATACACCAAGTTAGCGACAACATTAAAATAGAATAACAGCATAGCCACGTGTCCGCCAATGTGCAAATCCAAGTTTGTCATTGGAATCAATCTAAACTCAACGTGATTCATCGCAGTAGTTTCTTTTGCATACTTAAATACTTATCTTCCCTAATCATTTTTTAGCTTCGTTTGTGCTAAATCAGGAAACAGCAGGTGTCTGCATAAATTCAAAACAGTCACTCTGTCAGGTTTTTCAAAGCCAAAGTCAGGCAAGAATCAAATCGTCATAGCAACGAAACTGTCCAAAAGGTGACTCATATATCGTTATTCAATTTTACCCTTGGTTAGTCTGTCTTCCAGACTTTTTCCCCTTATTCTTGATTTCTAAATCAAGTTCTGTGAGTAGAATAATCTTTGGTTTAAATTATCTTTGTTTCAAACAGTCATTATCGTAGATCAGGACTGGTAAATTACATTCCAGAGTCGCGTCTACCAGTTGTACAGATCATTTCCATTTACCGTAAAACGGCCGCGAAAGCTTAAAACTGATATCAAAGATCGCTTTGATGAAATGGAACACGAATTTCCGTTTGGAACATTTCGATCGGGAAAACAGGAATACCTTTTCAGAGGTTCCGTTGCTCCCGAAAATTTTTCCCTATAACGACCTGCTAAGTTGTGTTCCAATTATTTATGGAAATTTTTGTAAATGGTAAGCAACCAAAGTAAAGCTACGCGCATACATTTTTTACACACATTGTTGGCCAATGATCGGATGTTATATGTTGCGTCCGTTTGCACATCCTGTTGCATGTGGTTGCGCAAAGTTTGAAACCGGTCAAACTTTTAGCCCCGTGCAAACGGACGTGACATAATTGGCTAACAACTCCCTGGATCTTGTTGGGAGTTGAGCAAAGGTTACCATTAACGACTAGAGCATTATGGGTAACACCGTTGGGGTTCCCCAGTGCTTACGATCAGCGGTCTTTCCAATTGCACACGTGAAAACATGGCGGACGCTTTTGGTGGCGATGATATCTTTTCTGTTTTCGAAGATAATTCTAGCCCAGAAAATACCAAAGGAAGGAAAAAGACAAGAACAACGTAGCTGGTCCGTCCACGTCTATAGATGCTCCTCAAACTGGTGAGAAAAGAGATTTCAAACCAGACGTTATCGATCTGGCTTTGGAGGAATCGTCGAAGAAAGCGAAACTTGATGACTTAGAAAGGTATGGGTTCGTTTAGATCGTGTATTTTCAGCACAGTCTTGGAATATTTTTAACTCATAATTGTCACCTTTAGGAAGATATGATATTGATTCGCCAGGCAATGTAACATTTTGCGAGTAATGTGTATTGATACAGATGTATTGTAAACAAAAGTGTAGTGCCATTGACGGTCGAATTTTTCAAGTTGTAAATATCGGTAATGTCAATGCTTAACCAGTCAAAGAGTTATTCATGGCAGTATGGCTGGGTACATTTCGTTCTGTAATCGCACGAGATATGAAACAAACTCTGCGCGATCGTTCAAGTTGTCTAATCACGAGCCTTCCTAATTGACGATCCTTGAGTCGAACGTCTTATGCTCTAGATAATGCAAAAACTAATAATGCTGTGAATGTTCTGAATGTTCTTTGAATGTAGACTTTGGCATTTGAGAGATTAAAAAACTGGCAGAAACGTTTTGCAACCACTAGTTATTTCTTTGAAATATGAAAATAGCGTAACGGTTATCCGTTAAGAAATTTCCGTTCATGAAGGTACAAAACAATGGCAAGCAAAGTTCTATTCTTGGTTGCGATTTCGTTGGTGGCGAGTTGCTTTGGTGACCATATACTGCATGATTAAGCCCAAATCTGATTGGACCTTGTACCCCCCCTCCGGCAAACCCCTGGGTAACCCCCGTGCATTTGAAGTTTTTAACATACATGTTACCTCAGTGCCTCTCTTGGCGAAAATAATAAGTGTCAGATCAGTTGCTTGACAATAGTGACAGATTTGACCATTAAATGCCCCCCCCCCCCACCCCAAATAAATGTTTTTATGTTTTACTATAAATATTGTGATATGAATGATCGAGAGACTAAACTATGTGAATTGATTCATAAGTTTTAAGTTCTTTTTAACACACAGTTTCCTGGAGACAATACCTCGTGTACAGGTGATAAATGTTGAAACCATAGAGGCTTGTACTCACGAGGTGAGTTTCAAGAATTTTGGAAGATCAGCGCTTTTGTACTTTCTTAGATAATAAATATCCAATTTCTCAATGTTTTACAGCCCTGTTGAGCCCTAAGTCAGAGTAAAGACGTCATAACCAATTAAATTTTGGCTTGTATTACAAGAAAATGTATGTATGTTTACGTACGTTTTGTAATAGGTCTTTTTTTTCTTCTTTGCGCCCTTGGGAGCCCTTGGGCTAATTATAGTGTGGTATTTCCTGAAAAAGTGCAGCAAAACCGCTGTCTGGTAACAACACTGTTGACTGAGCACAGAATTTCTTTTAGGCAAGATTTTTAAATTCAGGTTATTTGCTTCTCACACTTTGTAACAAGGGACAAGTGGCTGCTTTGCAAAAGTTACATGTAGCTGCATTATAGAAGTTGATCACTTTGCAGTGATTGAATAGATTTACTGAAATAAAATTGTTTTACTGCAGATACCCTAATTATTGGCCATTATTATTAATAATAATAGGGTAGCTGTTTGGCGGGAAGCCTTATAATAAAGGTTCAACAGTCAGAGGTATCAACCTGTCAGTCCTTCATTGTTTCTGCCAGTAGCTTGCTGCCTGCTGTTTCAAAAATTAAAGTCACTGCAATTCCAAAAAATTCAGATGAAGCAATTGCTATACACATAACTGTATGTACTTAAGTGATATGAAGAAGGGATCAGGGGATGTTTGCATGGAAGAAACAAGAACAAGAACATGGATGCTGTTTTTAATGATTTTTCATCCCATTATTTGTAAGGTGGCAGTTCCAGAAGGATGTGAGTATGTTCCTTTGGTGCAAAAAGCCAAAAAGCAAGCCAAGGTAAGCTACATGTACAGTAGTTCAGCGTGATAGAACCTCCACCACCTATGGTGCAAAATGAGCCAAGTGGCCTTAGCCTGCGAACGGCAGTCGTTTCTCCTTGCTCATCGCTGCTGAGGGATGTTTATTGAG